ACAAAACAAATCGGAGTTTATCCGGAGGCTACACCATCGACGGCGGTTTTGGGAAGCGCCGACTACCGATAATGGAGCCGCTACCTTCTGTTGGACCTGAACCGTTGCACGCTAGACACAGAGCTACTGGCGGGATTCGACCAGAAGCAACTGGGCCGACAACTCCTATCACTGCGGCACAAGGGACGGGCTCAACACGCTGTTCGATGGGTCTTTTGCCATCTCGATCCGCAGATGGTGGTAGTACTGCCTTCACGACATCGGCAGACTCATTGCACAAATTATACCTTGAGATCAGCCACCATGAGCATGGTGTGACGATCCCACATGACATAGTTTTATTAATTAAAGAGCAATCAGCTCTTGTTCGCCAGAGATAATTGGTGCCGCCGACTTAGTTATTAGGCAACTGCCTGAAGAAGATCACGAGCTCAAGAGAGAGATGATAATTGCTCTCAACAGAGAGCCAAGTTAGTTATTACACTCACATGGAACCCTAGCCTGCTCGCATGCATGTGATTTGCTCTGCCCTCTGTTCCTCAGTCGTTGATGCAACACAAATGATGATCAGGTCTCCATCTTGATATTGGCGCTGATGGATATTACCCCTGATGGAAACTGCCGGAGGACCTACCATGAAATCTACGCAAATGATATCCATCGGAAGCTCCCTCAAACCCATCTCCCTGATTTTTTCTATATATATATATATATATATATATATATATATATATATATATATTTTGGTTCAAATGAGAACAAGTCTTAACGTGAGAACGTGAGAACAAATCTCAGTCATCCAAAATTAATAACCATCTACGATCAAATAAATGGTAGTGGAGGATTTTTTGGTCTTCTTCTATTGTGGCAATTACATTGACCGATACGGTATTTCTATTTTTTGGATTTGGATGTACCGGTATCTGAGGTAATGGTGCACACTTTTAGGAAGGAGAGAATAAACATTATCACATTAATTGTTTATTTTAATTATCACGTAAGTTTACTTTTCCGTTTACTAAAACAAAATATTTTATTTCTTTTTATAAAATTTTGCCTTTTGAATGTGTTTACTTTAATGGGTTCTTTGGTTTGTGCATCTTCTTTTCATTTTTCTAACCACTAAAACTAAATTGTTCCCACAGTGCACATCTCCATCAACTCAACCTCCACAAAATTATTATACTTAAACTTATAATTTGCGTCCAAAAGAAATAAAAAATGCATGACAAATGTATATGGACTACATACATGCATTTTTCATTAGTTAGTGTGCATCTAACCACCTTGGAATCACTTTTATTTTATATATAATCATTTTTTTTATATCTCAAACGATTCAATTCCATGCACTTGAGCATCATAGTACGTAATGCACCCAATTTGAATTACCACAAACCAGACTTATACTCACTCCGGTCCCAAATGAAATTCACGTTTCCTTTTTGGGTAGGTCCACAATAAACTTCACACTTCTTCTCCCTTCCTTATTTGGCAAATTATCTACATCAAAACAGTGTAAAACAGTGTAAAACAGTGTCAAACAGTGTCACAACAATATGCTCTACAGTAAAGTCAAATTTATTTTCTTAATTTGTGTGAAGTCAAAGTGTGAATTTCATTTGGGACCGGAGGGAGTAATAAGTAAAGAAAACAGAGTGATTAGTAATATCACAAAAACACCTTTCTGATACACATTAACATGAATTGTAGTGCACCTTGTAATTAGTAATGGAAAAAGTGTTTAGTATAATCACAAAAACACGTTTCTGATGCACTTTAACATGAACTTTATTGCACCTACTGCACCATATAATCAACAATGAAAACAGAGTGTTAGTATTATCACAAAAATACATTTCTGGTGCACTTTACCATGAACTGTAGTGCACCCAATTTTCAGATTCATGTGATCCGGTTCAATTCTATTCCATACATCTTCTAATGCACAACTGAGAAGGATTTTTGCATTACGAGAAACTTTCCTGTGACATGCAACTTTACATGCCAGTAATACAAATTAACTTCCACAAATTAAGAAGTTATTATACTTAACATATTATACGGTTACCTGTAATAAAAATTAATTTAAATTTTCATAAAATAACTTCATCTACGCACAAATGTTGTACAGTAGCACACATGCAACCAACCATCGGAATTACGATACCTTAAAATCAATTTAACTTCCATCTGGAAAAGTCAATTGCTTCTTTCCATATTGGAGTGCGGTTATTTTTGTCAGGCTGATAACTTCTCCAAATCTTTGGTTATTATTGCTACTTTTTCGGGAGTGCAAGCCGGAATCCGCCACCCAATAAAAGACGTGTGCTTGTTTGAATTACAATTTTGCCCTTTATAACTTGCACCCCCGCCTCTCTTTATGTACGAGACAGGTTTGTGTGTGTGAAAATCCATCTGTGTACCGTGAACCCATTGATTAATAGCCGCACATTTAATTAGATGAAGAATTATGATGTGTTCTCATTTCTCACAATAAGAGGTGTTCTCATTAGAACCTATCCCTATATATATATAAGACATTGAGTTTGTTTAATTTTGATTCTTGAAGTTACATTTGATAATATATCATGAAATTACATCTTCTACGCAAGTTACATCTTAATGTGCGTGAGTTGCATCTTAATATACGCGAGTTACATCTTAATGTATGTGAGTTACACCACGGAATAAACTCCAGCTATATCGTTTTTATTGCCATAATATTAAAAATAAAACATATCCACTATTTATAAAAAAAAAGCAATTAAGCTATTATGATCAATTTTTCATTGTTTACATTGAAATCAATGTTTATAATATCTCAAACACAAAAAATCATTGTTCATTTTTCAAACAAGTTATATTTCGAACGAACTTGAGTTACATTGATCAATAACGCGAGTTACATATCTTTACATGCGAGTTACATCATTCATGCTACTGGGACAAAAAGAAAAAACAGCCACTGTACACGCGTATACTGTTCAAGGTGCAAAACTACGTCGTTTTTGGGAGAGGAACATGATGCTCAAGGTGCACCGGTTGCACCGTATACGAACTGGACTTATTGAGATCCCAAACCAAAAACCCTGACCCGTCGAACAATTACCATGTTTTTCTTTATTCAGCCACCAGCCCGGTTGAGCACCAAAACAATTTAAAAACCGAAAAATCTGTTTGTACTCAGTTTTGTACCCATCCCCCTATTTTGCTTGTGCACACAGGCAATTCGTTAAGAAGAAGGCAACATTTTGTCTGTGTTTATCTGTGTACACAGTCAAAATAAGGGGGTGGGTACAAATGTGTGTACAAAAGTGGGTACAACAAGGACTCTTTAAAAACAGGTACCATAGCTCTCGACAGTGTTAGAACTGACAGTATTATTTAGTACTCCGTATAATATAAGGTATAAAATATGGTTGAACCGAATATCACTTCTAGTCATGTATAAAATACGCTTTCCTAAAAGTTTACTATCTACCCTTATCACAGTAATCAGGTTACAAGATAGAACTTTTGGGATAAAAAGAAGATGTACACGTGTATTTTAGCTAATAAAATAACACTTAACAAGTTATTTGTATACAAAGTGATCTAAACACTTTCTTACTAATATTGCAGATAAAAGTAATATAGTAAGGCAATTATAGAAGAATGACAAAAATGATTTTGCTGTATTTCTTCATTTCACCATGATCCTCATATTTATATTTAAATTGGTGTCTCTTTTAAAAGGATATCACCAACCGAAATGATCTTACGATGAAGCTTGGTCCAAAAGGTGGAATCTCCCACCCCTGGAGCCTCCACCCCGACCTGACAGGATGGTGGGGAGGTTAATCACGGTGACTCAGTCAGCAAAGCGGCGGTAGGCCTTATACACGTGCGCACAAGAGGTCCAGCCTTATTTCAGGTTCTATAACCTCCACACAGCAGCTGCGGGTTTCGAGCCTTGGTCACTTGGTCCAATTTTCCCACCACTCGACCAACTGAGCTACCCGTGCGGGTAAAAAGTATCCGTGCGACCTACTGAACCTCTGTCACTTGGTCCAATTTTCTTACGATGAAACGGTTGTCAAACTTCCTTCATGTGAAAGATCGCACCTATTCAAAAGTATACAATCATTCCTGATGGGATATTAAGGTCCGGCCCAATACGGCGGCCCAAAATATCCCTGAGGCCCAGACGCAAGGGAAGGTCCAGGGAAAATCATAGGGCCCGAACGAGAATTGGGTGACTAAAGGGAAGAGCCGTTCGGCACATTCCGGACGGGGTGTAATTAGCACTTGGGTAATTAGTTTATTCCCTGATTGATAGCTTAGCTGGGCTTAATCCCAAAAGAGAGTTCGTGCAAGTGGGAGACTGCATTTAATGCTAGAGTATGTAGGCCTCAAATGGGAGCATGAGTGCACAAATAGCATGGAAAGCAACCAATTAGCTTGAAGCACCACATACCCCTCACCTACCCACTTCTAGTATAAATAGCACCATTTAATTCATTGTAAATGGTTAGCATTTGTTTACTCACTAGCTTATATTGCATTCTAGCTCTTGTATTAACCTTTTGGACCGAAACCGCCGTTCGACCTCTCCGTGTAATTGTTATTACCGAGTTTTTATATTTCTTTTATACACTTTACTGTAGCAGATACACCCTAGATCCAAAGTTGATGTTGGGCCTTCGGGTCATTCAGGACTTAACCTCAACAATTGATTTTAGTAAATGAATTTCCAATTAATGTAAAATTTCCAACATCATAAAAATGTTGCGGCAGTATCTTTAAATTTAAAAACCTAATGTTTTTAAAATGAGCATACAAGTGCAAAACAAAAAAGTTATAAAGTAATATACACCCTCCGTCCCGGTCATTTCTTCCAACTTTCCTTTTTGGGCCGTCCCAATTAATTCTTCCAACTTCCACTTTTGGAAAAAATATGTGGTTCACATTCATTCACCTTTTTCTTACACAATTACAACCATACATTTTTACTTTATTCCCACTACCTAAATTTGCGATACCGGTCAAAACCGGAAGAAATGACCGGGACGGAGGGAGTAAATATTATGAGACCACAAGTACACGTGTACACAAGTGCCTAGCGGGCTGGAGTAATCAGGGCTGAAACTCACTCCATTGAGTTTCAAATCCTTTATGTGCCTAGCGGGTTTCAAACTCGAGACCTCCCACTAGGCACGGTAACCTCGCAACCAGCTGGGCTGGAATGCTTGGTTTAATAGTAGACTAAGCTTTGAACTACATAACCACTTTGAAATACTGAAGATATTACACACATAAATCTTAATACAATTTCACTTAGAAACTTGACACTACTAACGGCCTTGTGTCCATACCCATTCATGAGCTCGCTCCAACAAGTAATAAAGTCTTAAACTTGTTGAATCGGCCGCCATTCTAGCTCATATAGGTAGGTCTTTTCAAATTGTGTTATGCAATCAAATACTTTATCAAAAGATCTATTAAGACATAGTCAACCTCATTACACATTGCAGACTCAAGCACTTATCCCGGGATGATTATTATTCAAAAGTGCTTCAATCACGTAGTGACTTACTCATTGTCATTGAACTCAAGATCTAGTGTTGTATTGGATGTTGAGTTGGGCTTTCTTTCACTTTTGATTATTTTCTAAGGGCTTTAACCTCATCTCTTTTAGTGTTTTGTACACCATGTCCCTTGGCATTGCCTTGGTAAAAGGATAAGCCAAATTCACATCTGATCGTACAAAATCAATCACATCAACTCCAAAACTAATAAGTTCTAGCACATAGTTGTGTCTCACTCCTATGTGCCTTGACTTATCATTGTACACATGGTTATAAGCTTTCGATAGAGTTGATTCACTATCACAATAGATTGATATCGGAGCCATAGATTTAGGCCATATTGGGACTTCTGACACTAAATCATTTAGCCATTCCGCTTCTTTACAAGTTGATGTTAAAGCTATAAACTCGGAAGCCATGGTAGAGTCCGTGATACAAGTTTGTTTCTTAGATGCCCATGATATATCACCTCCTCCAAGAAGAAATTACCATCCATTTGTGGATGAATAATCCTCTTGATTAGTTATCCAACTTGCATCCGTTTGATGGCTTCATCGGTCAAACACTCGTGCTTCTGAAAGGCTTCATAGTAGCTCAGGGGAAGACCACCTCATTCCCACAGTTGACAAACTTGAACTTGTTCTTCCATGCATGCACTTCTACATCCTCCTCTTGTGTTTTTGCTGAAGATTATATTGGCAAAGCCGGGACAAATCACATGGCCCCCTCAGGGCTCAACCAATAGTGAAAAGGTTGAAAAACACACAGAGCGTCAGCTCAATCTCCAACTCGAAGCAACGGATCAAGAAACTAACAAGTAGCTGTTTGGCGTAAGCTGGCATGGACGAAAAACCATAGTTCAAGTTGGTTACCAGTAGGCAGTAAATGTTCTCAATAGCATTATAACAATCATTGCTTTCTAAGCCTTTGTCAACTGAAAAATTCTAATGTATAAGGTGGATACAACAAAGCCTTATTGAGATAAACCTAGGCTACCGTCAATCTCAAAATTCATGGAGCCATTAAAGCTTCCTAATGTAAGATGAGCTACTTTGAGAATTCGCAAAGCAACGTGTTTTAATTTAAAGGGAGACAAATGTCCACCAAATGAAAAACTGACCTATTTATTGGATTTGCCCAAGTTTTTTTTTTTTTTTATTTTCTTGTGTAAGTTTTAGTGCAGAGCTAGTGTTCCAAGTTTCTAAACTTTTTATACAACAAATAAAAATTAAATACATAAATATAAACCCATATATAAATTAATTAAATAAATACACAAATATATATATATATGTGTGTGTGTGTGTGTGTATTTATTTATTTAATTTATAATTTTATATTTGTATACAAACATATGTTTGCGTATATATGTTGTATATATTTATGGAAAAATTCACATTAATAATCCCAATTATTAAACATCTTCCAATATTAATCCTAAATATACATAATTCTGGAATAATCTGAAATTTACCTGTGTCCTTCTCAAATTGATCTCAGGTAACCTGAGACTTAATTAACCGGTAAAAAGAATTAAATGAAAAGGAAAAAAATGTCCAACCGTGGTCCATCTTCACTGTTCCGACTTCCGAGAAACCTTGCGTCCTTGACCTGGTGCCAGTAGCCAACCAAGTCCCCGGATCCCCACTTCTATTCGTTGTTGCCGCCGACTATAGGTGACCCATTGCTTTCATCGCTTGGAAGTAGCATCGCGGCGCACTCTCCCACGCACTTCATCTTCAGGGATCAGATCTGCTTCCGTTTGGAGTTGAGGGGGTTGCAAGCTTTGATCCTCATAAATCGGCCCGTTGCAGGGTTTTCCTCTTCAAGAAGAGGAAATAAAATAAATACAAAGAAAAAATGAAGAAGGGACTTTCATTGGAAAGAAGGGGATGCGCCACTTACATTTTTCTCCGTTGAACAGAGAAGCAGCAAGCAAACGAAAATAAAAGGAAAAGGAAAAAACAGTAGAAAACAAAGTAAGAGGAGAGGAGAAGTGGAGAACTGAGACTCCAAAGGGGAGAAAGAATAAAAGAAAAAAGAGGGCAGAGCTTGGAGGAGAAGTTGGAGCACGGATCAGATGCAAGTTTGGGGTTGGGGAACAGAAAAGAAAACTAAAAGAAAAACAAAAGAAATATTGAAAAAATTATAGTCTAATTAAAACAAGCCACATGGTGAGGTGACCTGGTGAATGGGTGTATGCAGGTCATCGGTTTGTTACAAGAAGATACACTGTATAATTGGGATTATATTGGAATTACTTAAAATTGGGATTAATATGAAAAGATCATGAATAGTTAGGATTATTTGTGTGAATTTTTCCTATATTTATTTAACTTATACATAGTACTTTGTATACAAGTATTTTTATACTTTAACAAAATATTACATAAAAATCGTTCTTTATCAAACACTCAAACTTTAACTTTTTTCACATTTATCACTTTTATTTTAAAGCACTACCAACTTTAACTATTGAAAGCTTTCTCTAAAATCACTTAAAAATCATCATTTTGAAGTAGAAGCAATAACAAACATCCCTAAAGACAAGTTTACTTCACAGATTACTAAATGATGTTTATTAAGACTTGTGTTAATAAGCGCCATGTAAAATAAGTAGTGTTATAAGCTCATGTTTACTTCACATGATTTAAAATGTTGTTTAACATTAAATATCCAAAATAACCCTATACATATAGACACACAAGCATTCATGTACACAAATATATACTCGTAATATAATACGTGGGTGTTAATATGTACGCAAACACATACCCCTACCTACCCTACCCTACTCACACCCCCCAAACCCAAACCCTATCTGTACCCCACCCTAACTGTAACACCGGACCCAAATTTTACCCTGAGAAATTTTTTTCATCAAGTACATGGTTAAAGAAGGTAAATCAAAACTAGAGTAGCCTTGATAAATGAGAAAGATAAAATTCTTGTCTTAAGTTAATAAGGGATTATTGATCAGACGCGGGACCCACATCGGGAGCGGGGACCACCCGTGGTATTCTTAGTATATAAAAATTAATGTTGATCTAAACAATACTATTTTGATAGTAGGAATGGGTCGTGGACCCCAGTGATATAAAGAACGATAACTGGGCGGCCAAGTGGGTCGGGGCCACTATTCGATAATTGTGAGACCTTAATTTTCGGACTATTAATAATTTGAACGACTATGAATTAATGACAGAAGAAATATAAATATTTTAAAAATCCAAAACAATGGGTTGATATATATATGATTAATTTGGTAAATTAAAGGAGGGTACTTTTGGAGGACCCTACCTTAAAGATATTTTGGTTTGGGAACAAACAGATAAGATTTTATATGTTCATACATTTTGGACCACTTAAAAAGAAGTGTAACATTTTATTAAAGTGTCAAAAAATATGAAAACACATATTGAGTCATGAGAAATGACGAATGAAATTAAGAAACAGCACGTCCCCATTTTTATTGTTATTTGAACAGTAAAATGCACGTTGGACCCACACCGAGAGCGGGGATCAACCGATACTTCCGGGATCAAATGTTATACTCATCTTGGCTTAGGTAATATTTATACGATAGTGTAAATTAATGTTGAGCCATAAAGTTGGTCGTTCGATCAAACGAGGCCCCATTACCAGTATTAGCTATTTAACAGATAACAGCCTAAAATAAGTTCTGAGAACCACAAAATTAAAGTTGGGTAATATATATTCATCCTAGAGGCCAATATTAATTGGAAGAATAATATATATTTTATTTTGCCCGATAAAATAAAATATAATTTAAACAGTCCGGAAAATACAATTTTCGAGGTCGAATGTACATTTTGAGACAGATTGGGATGACCTCCCACATGTGGGGAGGCACCCCACGATTTTTGGTCTTGCAATAAGTGTGTAGCACCATGTTGAGATTTTAGAATTAATTAGAGGTGATGGGGGAACAAGAAATGTCAAACAAGGTCCCTCTCACACTCCATCATGGAGAGTAAAGCCAAATTAAGTACGAATCATGGAGCCAATTCAGAGGATTAAGATCTGCATATCTTCATCTTCAACCTCCCAAAACCGAGCTCAAGCATAGGGATGTCCAAGGAAGAAGAAAGAGTGAGAAAAGAAGAGAAAAACCTTGATTTATTAAGATAATGATCTCATTAACATTTTCCATCCTTAATTAATTTAATCTCATATGATTTTTATAAACCATATGATAGAACCCTAAGCTTGTTCTACACTTCTAGGGGTGTAAAATGAGGGGTTTGAGGGATAGTTTTAACCATGATCGGAGTTATGACCGGAGTAAGACCGGTTCGCCGGAAAACACCTTTTCGGAGGGTTTTGATATTTATACCACTTTTGGTTTATGAAACCTTGTTAGGAATTTTACCAAGGTATTCTAGACTTCTCGAGGAATCTAGGAGTGGCTGGAAAAGTCGCTGGAGCCGCCGGAGTTTTTGCCGGAAAATTCCAAAAGTCACCGGAGTTCAAATGAAGAGGATAAAAGCGCGCTAGCGTCATTTCAAGGTGAGTGGACGACTACGTGTCTTGTAACTCTTGGGTCAAACGTGGGATTACCTAAATAAAATCATAATCATGATTTTAGAAATGATTAAATGGATTAAAATGCATGATTAATCATGGTGAATATGGATTATGGAAATATTACATGGTTAATAAATAAGGGATTTATTTATGGATTAATCATGATTATGTTATTGTCAAATGTATAAAAATGCATACATGGACTATGTGTGAGACAACTAGAGTAATCTAGTATGTGAATATGTATAGAAATGTTTAAAAGTGTTTAAACATGTGATTAGCTATATTGATTATAAGTTATGTGAAAAAGGCATGATTAATGAGTAAAGGAATTATTAATATTTTTTATGAAGGATAATCATGAATGATTTATTTGGACATTAACTAAGAAAATTCAAGATGGTATTCTTGAAGGATTCAAGTACTTAATCATACATGTCATTAAATTAAATTTAGTTTATGAGAAATAAACTAGGGTAAAAATACATGGTATGATTAATTAATATAAATGATTTTGTGGGCTCATTTGAGAAATGACCAAAGTAACTCAAGTAATATTCTTGTGAAGATTTTAGAAACGCTTAAGTGTGCATATTACAAAAAAAATGATCTAGTTATGAGAAATAAACTAGAACAAAATATATAAACGATTAATAAGTATGAAGTACTTATTAATAGTTGTGAGAAGACGGATTTATGCTTTATAACTCTTGCGTGAGGCATGAGATTACCTAATGTAATCAAGAATATATTTTATGGAATGATTAAAGATAATCAAGTATGTGTTATGCCATGATTATATGTAAAATATACGTAGTAGTTGAAAAGCATGTTAAGTAAGTTTGAGATTTAAAATGTGATAATTAATTATGTATGATGTTCCAAGGACCCAAAAAGGTATTTTTGGATTGAGGAAGTTAAGAAGTACATGTGTATAAAATTTCACGTAAATCAGACTTCATTTGAGCGGTCAAACGGGTGTTGACCGCCAAGTCAAAGGCTATACCCGACCGGGTATGGGTAAATACCCGACCGCGTATTAGCTAAAAACAGTCCCAGGGGCTACTGCCTCACCATACCCGACCGGGTATGGGTAAATACCAGACCGGGTATTGGGTTATACACCCAATATGCAGTTTTTGAGTAAGTTTACGTGGGCCGTTCGGGTGGGACCCGTCCACGTTGGTTGCTAAGGCTTCGAATACGGTTTAAACGCTAAGACTTGGACTAGTCGTTAGTAAATAAATTATAGACCACGACCAGGCGAGGTAAGTGGTAGATTATACATGGCGGGTGAATACCTGGGACCGAGTAAGGTTGGGTAAAACTCTGTAGGACCAGGAGGAGTCCTTTATACTCAAATGTTAACAAGGGCCCGTGTAGTCCTTGAGGTGTGTTAACCTCCAGCAAATTACACATAGGTAACAAGGACAATTGAAGTCCTTGAGATGTGTTAACCTCCATCAAATTACATATAGGTAACAAGGGCCCGTGTAGTCCTTGAGGTGTGTTAACCTCCAGCAATTACACATAGATAACAAGGGCAAATGCAGTCCTTAAGGTGTGTTAACCTCCATCAAATTGCATATAGGTAACAAGGGTCCGTGTAGTCCTTGAGGTGTTAACCTCCAGCAAATTACACATAGGTAATAAGGGCAAGTGCAGTCCTTGAGGTGTGGTATCCTCCATCAAATTGCATATAGGTAACAAGGGTCCGTGTAGTCCTTGAGGTGTGTTAACTTCCAACAAATTACACATATGATGAGGGTGTATGCGTACTCCTCAAGGCGGGGTTAACCCCGGGAATGTAAACTATGATTGTGAGGACGGATAGTCCTCGAGGTAGATGAACCTCAAGTAATGATTTTAAATGATTAATCATGCTTGATCGGGAACGAGTTCCCAATAGGGTATGTTTCCTTGGTCTAGGAATTTAATTTAAACCATGTCCGTGATATGGGAGCCCGAAGGCCCCCACAATAATTATCTTTTGTTATCGGGTGAGTTAGCCTGCGGGTGACTCCACTCGAGGGTAAGACATGAGAAAGGTGAATTTAATGAGGCTGTTACGCTTAAATGATTTGAAAGACATCTGGCCCCACGGGCCGGATATTTTACTCATAAGTATATATGTATACTGTATGTTTGAAAATGGGTAGCTAAGAGTTATGCATATACATATACTATCACCCTATGTTGAGGGTCCCATGTGAGAAACGTTAGTTATATTACCTACAGTTTGCCCTCGCCAGTACTTTTCTGTAGTATTGATCCCTCGGGGGAACCACCATTTCAGGTTGAAGTTAGAGCTTACTTCCTGCACTCGTTGTTCGGGAGATCGATGGATAGAAGACGTGGTTCATGCTTCCTCTGTATCTATTTCTAATAAATTAATGGAGCCTGCGAGGTCTTGTTTTACCCTTGTGTGGGTTCTTATTAAACACTTATATTCCGCTATGTGTTTAATTGTATGTTGATGTTGTTATGTATGTTTACTAATCGGTTTTGGCATATGTATCTATCGGACGTCTTGTGCAATTTAGTAAGGATGAACTGCGATTATTTTTATTGGGTTGTACGAGGGTTGTCTACGTGGCACAGACGCGGTCTTGGGCATGACACTAACCCTTACCCCTACCTCTGATTGCAACCCTACACCGTACCCTTACCCACCCCCTGTCTACCCCTACCCTTACGGCCTTACCACTATCGTACCCTACTACTATCCGACTCAGACCATATTCCTACGCTTACCCCGTACCCTATCCCTAAGCTTACCCCTACCTGCCCCCCCCACCTGAGGTTAATGGGTAAGGGGTAGGAGTGTGCGCCTACCGGTCAGGGTATGGGCATAAAGGTCAGGGTATGTTAAGACCCAAGGTTCCATCTTAAAAGGTCAACCTTATATGAGAAGTAGCCCAAAACCTTATATAATGTTTTATTGTTTTATAACTTTCCGGTGTGCGACAAATACCTTAACACGCCCCCTCAGCCCGAACCGGGCTGGACAATATCGAGATGTATAAATGGGCCAAACAGACCCATAACAAGCTACCCATAATCATGGGTGCTAAACAAGCAGTCAAACCACAACCGGGATTGGCTCTGATACCATGTTAAGACCCGGGGTTCCATCCTAAAAGGTCAACCTGATAGGAGGAGGAGTCCAAAGCTTTATATAGTGCTTTATTATTTTATAGCTTTCCGGTGTGGGACAAATACTTTAACAGGGTACGCGTATGAAGTAGGGGGTAAAGGGGATGGCGGTACCAAGTCGAGGTGGGGTAAGGGGGCATGGGTATCAAGGTAGTGTCGAGGTAGGGCGAGTGGTAAGGGTAATGAGGGAGGGGTAGGGTTTGGGGCACGAGGAAAGGGGTACAGGTAGGGGTGGGGTAAGGGGGGTATGGGGTGGTAAGGGGTAAAGGTAGGGGTAAGAGTGGCGAGGGTTGGGGTATGGTGGGGTGGGGGTAAGGAACGCGTACGAGTACGGGAAAGGGGTAGGGGTTAGGTGTACGTGGACAGGTAGGGGTGGAGGTGAGGGTAGTCGTAAAAGCACGTGTACCGATAGGAGTAGAGGTTGAGGGGGTAAGGGTGGGTAGAGGTTAGGGGTAATAATAAAGGATAAGAGCAAGGGGTAAGGGTAAATTCGGAAACTGAAAAAGCTTTATGTGTCGCTTAATTGATACATGAGAGGGTGGTACACTTAGTAAACGGCACTTTAAGCACCTATTTCAGTTAGTAAACAACTTCTTAAGCAGCATGTGTGTTTACTTCATCTGTCACACAACGAAGTAAACACACATCCTAAGTGTTTAATTCAGTGTTTCTTTTTTTGTTTTAGATAATGGTTCAAGTGAGCGCCAATTCAATAGTTTTTCTCTTCTTTATTTTTTTATTTGCTCATAACAGTCATAAGAAAAAGATAAATAGTTAAATAAGAGCTGGTCAATGGATCACAATTTACAACAGATCTGCACTCATATTTTACATCCTTCGAACACCTACCTCGTAGGCTCGTAATTGAAAAAAGAAGTGTTTAAGAAATATGTTACTACAACATTAGTATATGCAAGGTCGCAAGAATACCAAATATGCATTCTTGCATTATCAAACACAGTTTGTAAGCTAAAGAAATAAATAGAGGAGACGCATTGTTGAAGACTGAAGAGCAAATGTCAATTCTTCACCACCAAAATTATTAGTTGAGAGACATTTTATCACACAGCAATCGGTAAGCAGTACTGCACACCTTAAATTTCTCTTCTGCAACAATCTGAAACCATGTTTCAGATATACATAAAAATAAGACTCATTCTAGACAATTATGTCATACGCATACACACACATCTGTGTATGTGCACATGTACACACATATCTCATGCTTGGTTTGCAAGAAGCCAGTGCAAATTTAGAGCCCGTTTGGTATGCTTGATTCTGCTCATATTTATGAAATTCTGGCTAAAGTGGTTGGATTGACCGATTCTGCTGATTTATGAAAAAAATATATTTAAAATCTATTTTATCAATAAAATTAATATTTCATTGGCTGAAGTTACTCTTCACTAACTTCAGCCAATACAACCATAAAAATATTTTCAACTTTACTTTTTTTTATTATTACACAATTTATCGCACGAAATCAAAAGTTATGGGTTCGGTAAAAAGATGGTCGATAAAAAAGATAGCCGATATGTTTGATAAGCCGAAAAATAAGGTCACCAAAAGGGTTCTTAGATTTCTTCTGCATGATAGGACAGAGGAAATACCTTGGATGGACCCTGGTGGCGGTCTGGATGCCATTTGAATGCGCATGCTCGATATCTATAGGAGACGTGAGCAACGAAATGTAATTTTTTAAGAAAGACATAACAGTTGCATAAGAAATAGATGATTCTGATTGTAAGAGTCAATACTTGTGATGTGGTGAGAATTGTCTAGCTGATAAAAATGCAGTAAAGAAGGCAACCACATTCAGTATGTAGAAGCACGACTCTTGTCAATAATCAATAATTTCTGAATCTTAAATGTGTTATTTGTTCTTGCAAAAAATGTGTCATTAGTAAAAAATCTGACTAGTCGAATTATTGAGACTGTTTTGTGAAACTGCATTTATGAAAAAATAACTAGAAGATTAATTATACATACCATCCTCGAGATTTAGTTAAATTACAAGTCGACCCTCAAGCTTTCTGAATATTACAAGTAAGCCGCTTGACCACTCAGCTTTCTCGCAAATGACACGGGAAGACGATATGTTGTAAGGGAAATTTCTCAAAATATGATTAAAACCAAGGTGGTTTCCTTAAATAAAGTATTATGCTTTTAAACTGAAATAGGAGTAGAGTACTATTGCATTATCAGGCACTAATATGGCTGTAGTACTGCCATATTATGACAGTACATTACTATTTCCGAAAAAAATATAGTACTCCTATTTAGAGAAACCACATTGTTTTTAACATTACCCTAAACATTTGTGGTTTGTCCCAAAGATTCTTGTATAGTTGTATCAAATATTTTGGTTAATAAATGCATTAATAAAAGACAACCACATTCAGTATGAGGAAAAGCAATTCATGTCAATATCATAACACTACCTCTGCCCCAAAAACATGTTCCGGATCACATATTTCTGCAACACAAGTTTCTGCTATGACATTCCCAAGTATACAGTATACCCTTTGTCCCTTTATATCAAATTGAAGTATTGAACACAGAGTAATCAAAAAGTAAAGGTAACAGTGACACTTGCCTATTAGATTTTTCTTCTAGTGGACACGGGAATTTCATTTTGGGACATCTAAATAAGGAAAGTGAGAACTTGTTTTAGGAACGGAGGGGGTATTCAATAATCTGTTAGTGTAAAGGGGTCATTTGTTGAAAATCAGATCATTCATGAATAAAGAGGCTTAATTTTAATTTTAAAAAATCTGGAGCGCCATTTGGTTATTCGACCAAACCTCGAGGGAGGGAGCAAACTGGAAACACGAAGATGATAATGAGACAGGTAGCAAACTTACGCATTTTTAACATCTTCAAGATTTAAAGGACCAGAGGCCTTCAACCCAAGGGCCAGACGCTCTGAAACCAAACCTGATTCATGGGTGTCACATTCTGTTGATTCATCATCATACTCATACTCATCTTTAAATCTAAACCTCCGCTTTGAATTCCCGTGAATGTTAGAGTGACGTGATGAATGCCTATCTCGTACATCTTCATTTACAAATGACCATCTATAGTAATCCTTACCACCAAATCCAGTACGGAAAAAGCTATCTACTTCGAAGTCCAAATCTTCAACAAAATGAAACCCTCCTGGAAACAAAGAAAAGACACAAATAAGGCACACTCTGGTGATAAATATGCACAAATGATGAACTCCTATCCCTTTTTTGAATCCAGAGAGGTGAGTGGAAATGAGGAAGGGGAGGGGAGGAAAACGATGAGGTTTTTTTTAATCAATAAAGAAGTGAGAAGGAACTAGTTTTTGGAAATTAGTTGTATGTTAAAAAACTGTATTTGGCTTTTTGATACTTCGAATTATTTTGTATTTAAAAATATACTCCCTCTGTCCCACTAAACTTTGTGATTTGCAGTTCACGAAGTATAACTGATGATAAGGTTAACCCACCCTCACAATATTTAAAAAAGTTTTGATGTTTAAAAACTACAACAAATGTTCTCTTGGAGAGCTTATCCAAATTCGAATATGATATACGTTGATACTCAAAATCAGAGAGCAAAAAGAAAATTGCTTTGACCACAAAATCTACATGTATTGCGATAATGAAGAACAGTTCTGATTCTGAAAAAAAAAGAGGTAAAAGAAAATAAGAAGAAAAATTTTAAATCTTCAAAATCCCCAAATTGGGAGAGTAAGATGCGAGGAGTTTGAATTGGACACAATAACCTGAAATCTGATTCCTCTAAAAATTGTTCCTTTAGTTCAAAAGTCAAAACGAGCAATATGTAGAATCCAAACAAATTATTGCTGAGATTTGCTGGACACTGCCTCCTCTCCCTTCTAAGATCCTCGGACAAACAAGGGATTAGGAAAAAACTAATGACTGACTCCACCACTATGATGTAGCTTACTCCATTTATGGTATCCTTTGTTCCTATATCTGCCACCACTGGACACATTAGACCGAAGATCTTGTTGAAACCACTCCCAGCCTTGGCTTGAAGAAGAATCATAATCATCAAAATCGTGATGCAAGCTCTGAACACTAGGAAAAAAATCGTGAGAAAGATATAATCATTTTTTATTATATTATATTTACATATAACACGACCATTTTGCCATGTTTTGATTTGATTCCAGACTTGTGAGTTATACCTGTCTCTTTTCATTTTTGTGTGAAACAAAAAAATGTTTTTATTATTATTATAGTAAAACCAGAGCATGTGAATCATAAACTACAAATTTAAAATTTATTGTTCATGGAGCGTATATATACAATTAATATATTGACAATTTGTCCAATTCAGAAATAACCTGAAAAAAGTCATCCGCGATTGCACCAACATTTCGCAGTAATGTTTGTTTTGAATTGAATTTCCTAAACCTTTTGTTCTCGTAGTTAAACCTCTGCAGAGTAGCATTCTTTCAATAACCTAATATTTATATGGAACAGAAGTATATAATATGAAACCTATCCCACACAGATTATGAGGATGATGCTATCATGCTTTGCAACATAGAGCAAATTTATTGAAATTTATATAACACTTGAGTTTTAAGGGCTTCAAGCCTTCAAACGGCAAATTTCTAAGAAACTGCAGTTATAGAAAGCTCCACAGTTAACTAATGCAAGTAATTGGTGATTCAGAAAAGTATCTCTTCGAAGCCTAAACAGGTATTTCACAACTTTGGGCTTACCATAGCATGATCATAGCCAGATGATTCGCCTCCGTGTAAAACAAGACAAAAAACTGTAAATATAACCACAGCATAGACAATGTCTAATACTTCACAACTCACACAGCTACATGAAAATTATCATAGTGTGGTTTGGTAAAATCCCTATGTTTGTCCTTGCAAAAAAGAATCCCCTATGTTTGTGTTGAGATTAACAGTTTCCCTAGAAACTTTCTTACCCGATGATTTTGAGATAAGCTGACATGTATGATTATTGTTTAGGGTTAAGTAGTTATATAGCATATATACATAGGAAAAGTTTAAATAACAGCTTATAGTTTTATATTTAAATGCAAAGCATATTCTCACTTTAGAAACAAATATGCACGGGATTATTCTTTAAAGACATTAAATACATACAATATGTCAATATGTTTAGGAGATTTTTTTCTTTCGTGTTAACCAAATGGTCTATGTATTTTATTCACAAAATATTAGACATTAATTTCACAATACCTATTTAAAGTTGTATATACACCCAAATATTCCTATTGTTTATTGTACTTTAGATAATTTGTATGGAGTATATTCTTTATGTTAGAATGATTCTTGAGTTCTACTTTTTGGGCTTGATAGAATGTGTGATATTTTTGTATATACAATTTTTTCTTTCATTAACTCTAAAGATGTAAACTTTCATGCGTATGTGTATTTCTCTATCCTTTTATCCCAGCTCACCTGATCCCTGCTCTTTGATTTAAAGGTGACAATTCACAATACTTTCTGTTGTAGGTTAAAAAGTCAAGATTCTGTCTTTATATTTATCTTTTGAAGAAAACATGTGTGATTTCATGTTGTAGGATGATCCACTTTCGAGGCAAGGGAATGTTCAAATCAGAAGATTATATTATAGTGTTAAGATTACTAGATTAGACTGGGTAGCTGGGAGGGGTATCACTATTCATCAAAGTTGACTCTCTAACTCTCTTCAATTCTTCATAGAGTCACACTACACCTTCTTAGTAACATTTCTATCCAAATTAATTCATCAATCATTATATTGTAGGTGACTGTTCTTACCCTTGATGGCCTCTTAATATTCGTCCTTCCACCCTGAGGAAAAAACACTATTTAGTTTCAGCAGAACCCCGCTATTTGATAAAATATATTAATAGATTAGCTTAAATGCAAGCAAGTATTGAAGCTGAACAGTGAACACAAATAATACCGTCCTTAAACATGAAAATTTTCAAAGCCTTACAAGTAGTTAAAGCCTTTTTTACTATGTATATGCAAAACGTCATCTAAGACTACGTTGTAAAATACAGATACACACAGGCATAATATACTACGGTATATGAATTCAATCTGCCGACTTCATAACTTCCATTTCAAATACCGGAGTTTAATAAAAATAGAGAGCTAGAAAGAGAGGCTCACAGAATCCCAAAAAGTGCGTCTTCTGCGTTCAAGGATAGGAGTGGAGTGAAAAAATGAGGCCCTGATGTGAACAGGAGAATTTATTAGCGCTAAAATGCCTCTATTGGCATTCATCGTTTAACTTGGAAAGCGTTAGAGAGAGAGAACACGGTTGAGCAAAAAGATGTTGAACACAATCGTGGAGATTGTTATTAGGAAAACTCTAGAGAAAAGAGAGATGGAATTGCGAAAATTGTGTTGCTCCAATGCAGTCGTCTGGGCTCGTTTAGCCTCAAGTTTATGTTTTCTTCCTTTGACGATATCTTAATAGGGAGTATCTTATCAATTTAGACGGTTAGGGTAACCTTGTAGAATTGTAGGCAGATGACCTCATTTCCAGCTTATTAATTTAACTTTTTCATCAAACTTTTGTCAAGACTCTTTCTAAGACATTTTTGATGTATTGACTAAAGTTACTATAGAGAATTATTTTAGCTATTTTTTCAAATAATTTTTTCTTTATTTAATTAATAAAATACATTTCAAACATAATTATTTCATAAATGAGCAAAATCAGTCAATCAATCCACTTCAACAAGAAATTCATAAATTTGAGCAGAATCAACCGACAGTCAATGCAGCCGATTAGGGTATTACCAAACGGGCTCTAAATGCAGCCCATTTTTCTTATTACAGTCAATTATTTGAAGTACTTATTTACTCTTTATACCATATCTCATTCACTCCCTACCTTCTATCTTTTATTTTTTGAACTATTTAAAGTCATTAAAAAATTCTAATTAAATGTTTGACATGCTATTTTTTTAAGAGCTTTTTAAAAACAAAAGATATTTTTTGAGATGCTACATTGAGTTGAGTAGCATCTTAGAAAAGTCTATAACTTTTGACATTAATTAGTTCCAACAATTATTATGCCAAACATAATTAAATCAAACAAGGGAAATTGCCCTAAATAGGAATAAATGAGATTTGAATTCCAATATAACACTACTATGTTTTTCCTCCCCGAATAGGAGTTGTTACTATCATGTATGAAAAATATTGGCATGATTGAAAAATAATGTCATTAATTATAATAAATACTATCATGTTAAATGCACTTTACTGTAACTATTTGGCAGTCACACCTATAAGATGGCAGTAAATACTGTCATGTTAGTCCTATTTCGTGAATAAAAACATAGTAGTCCTATTTTGGAATTCCAAACTCCATTTACTCCAATTTTGGGAAATCTCCCATCAAACAATCAACTTTTTAGCAAAGACCTACCACATTTTCTTTTAAAATCTTTTCAACTACTAAAATCTAACAGTAACTAAAAAGCTCATAAAAGTATCTTTTCAGATACTTGTGCCAGACATACCCTAAATCCTTCCACGCGAATCCTAATCTAATGGGTACGAGTCCCGCTCAACCCCTGTCATACCAAAATTCTATACATATAAAAAAGCATGGACCTAGTCCAATGGCTCGCCCTAGTTTGGAACCGGGTCTGGTACTGTTGAGTCTAGATTGGGTCCATTTTTTCGGTTTCGAGCCTAGGACCGGCCCTGTATACCCGCCTAATATGGGTACTCGATCCTGGTTCACAAACTTTGGGACCAAACAGGTCAATTCCGGTCCTGATTTTAATCCCAATCAACAATTTTTTTAGCCTTGAAAGCAGACCTAAAATAAAATATAATGAGACCGTGTCCAGAACTGGGACCGGACTGATCGGGTACCCAGAACCGGACTGATCGGGTACCCAGAATCGGACGGTTTCAGTCCAAAATCGGGACCAGAGCAACTCAGGTTCATGCCTAAATATATAATGGGATCAGCTCTTTGAATCTTTATTTTCTCTCTCTATTTACAAGTAGATGTGGCATATGGTATGTATCTTATGATATTTAGGGGTGTGGGGTTCAAGATGAATCGATTGTGATGGGGGGTGGGGTGGGGTGTTGCAGTTGTGTCCATAAACAAACCTGACTGTTAACGAAGGTGAACTAGAGGTAATATTCATCGTCGGTGAGCCTTTAGACGAGACCCTCAGATACCACATCTACTTAGTACTATGTCAGACCTTTAACTCGGTTTAGCACTCCTCTCCAACTAAATCGATTTCCTCGATGTCGTAGTCGCTGCGATTAATTTGACGTGTTGGCGCAATAGCATCCCAAGCCGGCAGAATTAGTAGAGACAGGTTTCCAAGCAATTTTCGAGGCATTGATGAGTCCTATATGAGCCCATACCCCATGACCTACATACTGAGAAGACAAATAAAGCACAACTGGCACCCACGTGGTCATCCATCAGCCAGATGGTCCTCCATCAGCCAAACACCCACCAACCCAGAAATGATCCAGAAGTTGGTACTCCATCGGCCAGGCCCTCCGTCGGCCAACAAGACCAATGCAGAGATGGATCTTATACTTAGTCAAAATACTGTGTGTATCCAGCCAAATAGAGGCGTTATATTGTAATGGGCCCCTCTCTCTAGCTCTCACTTCTCTCTCAGAGTTAATACTCTATCATTTGGTGCTTTCATTGAGAGTGAACTCTCCATCTTCTCTTTAATTTGCCGAGGACCCGAGTCACCCTTGTCCTCACTGGATGATGTTGGGGTGCATCATCGTCACCACCACGACATCCCTCGCCGTCTTCAGTTCTGTATGAACTCGTACCCTCCATCTCCTCAATGAAGTCCTCTACGTTCTTAAGCTTAACTCGGGGAGAGGTGTCTTCCTCATGAAAGGGGTAATACTTTTCGTCTAGAGAAGCCATAACAACTACGAGTCTCCTAAAGGCGGTACATATGGATCTAGGTCAGTTTCCTACAAACACTAGATCTAACCTCCCAAGATCCAAAGTATGAAAGAAATGCGATGAACTAAGAAAGAACTTACCTTGGAAGTTGAAGAACACTTTGAAGATTTGAAGAAAGCTTTCTCTCTAGAAAATTCAACAGCACTCCATGATTCAGCAAGATGCAAATGAGGGAAGCACTTCGGACCTAGGGGGTATTTATAGACATCTCCCCAATGGTCACTACAGGTGGCATGCTCCCAATGGCCTCCCCAACGGTCGCCTCCATCACACCCAATCAAGTGCCACCTGTTTGAATTCTCAGCAAGTTACAACCACAACGGCCAAATCAGCAACAAAAACAGGGTCAGACAACGGCCATAAACACAATCAATAACTCTACGGCCACAAGTGCACTTCAGCGGCCACAAATTGCAGTAAGATAAGATCCAACAGCCATAGGCTCCTCATACAGAACCCATTGATGATAACCTCTGGCCCGTGACCTTCGTACACGGGTTCTCCCACAGGGTTACCTTGGTCAGGGATCGCCAAGAGGTTGGATTCATGAGGAATGCGAGGGTTCCGCTTCGACCTGAGACTCTATTCTACTCCTTCATGCCTAGCATGCTCTTCGGCATGAAGGAGTGGGGGACTGAGGGACTTTATCGGCCTCCACACATGTGAAAACATTCCAAAAAGAAACAAGTTCAAAAGACAAACACAAATCTGTAACAATGGCATCGCAACGTCCACATACATGCGGGTCATCTTTGGAAACCACACCATCAACACCACAATATCCACAAGCATATGGACCACCTCCGGCTAAAGCCAACACACATGAACAGGAGAGTAAAGAACAAATGACACACACCGTCCTCAGAACAACGACATCCATCATCCACGAGAACAAAAACAAGGGATCTACCACGGCTCCAAAGGAAGCAACAGTCATCGACCACTAAATGAACGCCAATGACTTCAACCAAAGAAACTAGCTGGCCATGCAATGCCCAAACGCAAGGAAAAAGAGAAACCACGCAATATCAGACACAAATGGCCCCACATCGGCCAAAAGCATCAAAACAACAAAGATTTACTCCCTTTCACTTTGTCTGCATCTCAGCTCAGAGAGTGGGGGACTCCTAATAGAGTATATGAGCACAGACCCTATGACCCACATGCACAGAAGACAAATAAAGCACAACTGGCACCCACGTGGTCATCCATCACCCAGATGGTCCTTCATTGGCCAAACACCCACCAACCTAGAGTATGGTCCAGAAGCTCAGGAGAAGAATGATGCACACTAATTAGTAGTGCAAAATTGCATGTTTTTATGTTTGATTTATGTTGATTGTTTGACATTTAATTTAGTTTGAAAATATTTATGTAATTTCAGTTGTAATTGTATTTTATTCCTTATTTATAAGTTGTAAAGTATAGTTAGGATTTGTGGTGTTGGAAAGGAAGACTTTGAAGAGAAGAAAACAAGAAATTTGACTGCCCAAGGGTGAAACCCGACCGGGTAGAAACCCCCACCCAGTCGGGTAGGATTTAACAGACGAAATTGCCAAGAAAGTCACTAGACCCGGTCGGGTCCCCTACTTGACCCGGTCGGGTCAGATGTGACTCGGGAGTCCGGGACAAAACGACGTGCGAAGATCACCAGAACGTGGCGAATTATCTGATTTTGACCGGACCCGGTCGGGTAAGTACTTGACCCGGTCGGGTACCCAGCCAAAGGTGTTGAAAAACACCTATAAATAGCACTCTTTTTCTTCTCTAAAAATCATTCCTTCTTCCATACTCTTAAGCTCAGTTTAGAATAGCATTTCTTTATATTTTTCTAGCTATGTTTAGTCTCCAAACGAGGAGCTAAACTTCCATTCTTGGTGTTGCTCTTGAAGCTTGTTGATTATTAAAGTTGTGAGTTATTTTTTTAACCTCTTCCCTTGAATATTAATTAATAGTTCTTTACTTAATACATCTCTATATTAATGTTGGGGAGTATTGCTAAGATGACAATTAGTTAACATCTCGACATTAGTTAGAATGGTATTTTCTTCCTCTATATTAATGTTGGGGAGTGTTGCTAAGATGACAATTAGTTAACATCTTGATATTAATTATAGTAGGATTCATCTTCTTTAATAATATTCTTCCTTGAATATTAATTAATTCCTACTCATATTTCATATTAATATTTTGAACATTACTTAAAGGATCAACTAGTTTTGTTTCATATATTAATTATTACTAGAAACGATCAACGAACCGATGGTTAATCGTTGATGGTTTCATAAGTAAGTAACTTCGGTTTATTAATGCATTGTCGTGGTTAATAGACTTAAGAGGGATTAATTTTGTTGGTTAAACCGAAACCGTTGTGTTGAGGTTATCAATCTCAATTGATTTCATCAAGGAGTTAGAAAGATTAAATGCTACTATTAAATCGGTATAAGGTGTTGTTCTATATTTGATTAATAGTAAGAGTTATTAATGAACGGTTGTTGTTAAT